GTTTTTTTTTGCAAAGAAATACTATGTAAGGAGTTGCCAGTAGAATATAAGAAATATCAACCTTGCAAATATAAATTACTGCAAATAAAAAATGAAACAACAAATTTTAATATTGAATATTATTTATATTAGTCTGATTGAAATTTAATGATTAATATCTTACATATCTTAATATTCTTGGTAATATCTTTTTTAAAGTAACATCTTTCTAAATCCACATTTAGCTAATTGGTAACATAACTAAAGATCCCTTGTAGCTAGTTGGTAACATAACTAAATCTCCCTACAATTAGATATCTTAATGTACTTGGTAACATCTTTTTTAAAGTAATATCTTTCTTAAACTTAATTAATGGATATTAAAGTAATTGATTGAATCTCAGTTGTTTCTATAAGTGGTAACACATTAATTAGTAACTGATTATTATGTAAGCTTGATGTAGTTCTAACTAGAATTGCACTGGGCCTAAAACTACGAAAATGAAGATAAAATGCTGCAGAAAAGAGGACTTACACTACAGCTGCAGAGAATGAAGCATAAAGTAATCTAACCTGGTCAGTGTGGGTGTGTGATAAAACTGGTGGACAAATGCCACGAAAGGAATGCTACTAAAGCTAGGGTTGTTACGGAAAAAATGCTACTGTAGCTAGGGTTGCTACGGAAAGAATGCTACCGGAACCGGATCTATTTGGAAACACAACTTCTACAGGATGTAGTTCTCATGACCCGCTGTGCGGAGGAATAACTTCTAATATAGGAAATCAAATCTTTATGAAAGATTTTTTGCCAAAAAAAAGTATTTCACGCTGTTTTAACATTTTTGACCAATTCTGATTGGTTTGCCTTTACTCCGCATTAACCGCCAATTAAAAAAAACATTTCTGTTACCATAAACAAACATGCCAGGATTATATTTTGTACCGACAGCCATTTTAGAATCCACGTAAGGAAATATTTGGTTTGGTTTAGATGAGGTAGAATCGTTGCATTCCCACGCTGAAAATGGAATTGAATGTCGAGCCCACAGCGTGTCCACACTTTCCCTACCCAGGTAAACCTTATACAAGGAAAATAATGAGTCTCTTAAATAATCTTATATATAACAAACTCTTAAACAATCTTATATATAACAAACTCTTAAACAATCTTATATATAACAAACTAATCTTATATATAACAAACTCTTAAACAATCTTATATATAACAAACTCTTAAACAATCTTATATATAACAAACTGTTTTTTGGTATGCAACAATTTTCATTGAATCCAGCTAATAAGGAAATGTTTTATTTCGAACCAATAGAAATCTAAAACCCCCGGAATAACATTTAAATAGCCGAAAACCCGATTAACAAGAGTTCCCTATCACCCAATATCTCTGCAACAATTAGGAAGATTTTACCTAAAATAGGTAATATTTTGAAAATATCCTTCTTTGTCTCCGCTGCAGGATTTAACCTTCATGAAAGAGGAGGACAAAATCCAAAAAAGAAATATTCCACTTTGGTCTTTAATAATTTATAAAAGGGACTGGAGGCTTAATAAAAGATAAAAGAATGATTTCCCTTTTTTGACCTCTTAAAAGTGCTACCCCATTTGAAGAGTTGCATGCTTGATTCACTACAGTACCAGTAAACCCTTTACCTGTCGTTATTCTATCTGGAAAAGTGTTGATTTTGAAAATATCCTTCTTTGTCTCTGCTGCATAAATCTTCATGAAAGAGAAACGTCCAAAAAAAGAAATATTCCACTATGGTCTTCAATTTTTTGTGGGGCTGTAGGCATAGTTACAAAGTCGCAAACTAAAATTTTCTATTCCCTGTATCTTTACAACCAGAAACCCTGGCATATTGTATTTGATGATTTAATCCCACAGAATTCATAGTTTGAAATATAAAACTTGCAAAGATATAGAGATTAGAATCAGAGTTTGTGGCTAAAACTTAGTTCCTTCGTTATAGCAGCCAAGTAATTGTTTTATACTTTGTGAAATTTTTCCCTATAAATAATATGAAGCCATAAAGTGTCAAGTTGTATTCTAATTCTGGTAAACTGTAAATTATGCAGAAAAAGTCAGAATTATTGTTTTTATTTCTTCCTTTTAGGAAAGTTTAAGAATAAAACGAGTCTCAAAGTTAAAACAAAATTAATGTCTATAAATAAATTGTTGAAAGCTTAAATTCTATCTTTGCTTCCAATTTTGTGTACGAAACGATTTAATCATATATCCTCTAAAATATTTCTGAAATTGTTAAAAGCACATTTTCAGAAATACAACAAAATTGGAAATTTAAATCTAAAAGGATTTCCAGGGTCCTTTCCTTCATATGTTCTTTCCAGGGTCCTTTCCTTCATATGTTCTTTCCAGGGTCCTTTCCTTCATATGTTCTTTCTGATCACTATTTATTTATATAAAACTTTCTTCTTCAAGGTTTGCATAGTGTTCGCCAAAACATTGAATATTTGTTCTGTTTTAACCCATTACTATATTCTAGGAAGAAGCTGAAGCTGGTTCATTCCCAGGGGTGTTGCAACTCATATTCTAGCTTTTATTCAAATATTCAATACAAGGATATCAGGGCGCTTCGCGATCATCTTCTTTTTCAACTTTTAATAATTGCTGAATCTTTTGGTATTTTTCTCTTTGACAAAACAATCGATGCTTTTTATATAAAGATACTTTGCTTGTTTGTTTCTAATAAACGTCAAAACGGCTAAACCAATCAGGCCCAAATTAGCTGTGGCATCTAACCAGACCCCACAGAAAATTTATGGATGCTCAGAATCTAAAAAATTTGCAAAAGAATATGAAATCCGCGAATTTTTCTTGTTTGTTTTATAATATACGAAGAGACAATGCTCACAGTTAGAGCCACAATTGATAGTTAAGAAATTAAAGATTGGCGCGAAACAAATTTTGTATACTAAATAGTATAGTCAAAAACAGAACTTTGTCATCGTTTAATTTTTTTCAAAATTTATCTTTTTGTATTTCTATTTGTCGCCGAACATTTTTTATACAATATTCTAACTTTGAATAATGTTTGTCTAAAAAAAAGATAGTAATTCTTCATTCAGTAAACACAAAAAAAACAATCAGAAGAATCGACAATGTTTTTAGTTAAATTAAAGTGAGATTTCTGTTAAATCCGGATTTAACATTAATAATTAAACTTCTTATAAGTTGGTCAGCTCTATACAATAGATAAAGTTAATGAATGTTGTTAACTAACATATTCATGAGGGATAGAATGAGTCTTCTTAAAGTACATAATTTGATCAGATTTATTTCACTTTTCGTGATCAGAGTTGGTGAAAGATATTATCGTTTGCTAGCTTAAACTTCTGAAGAAGCCACTTTATAGAGTACCAGTATTAAAGATAATAAATATCATGTATTCTTGAACAGACAACGGGTTTAAAAGTACATTCTTCTAGCTCTTTAACAAGAAGGTTGCTAGAAATTATAAAGACAGTCCCTGCAAGTCTCCTGTTTTCATATTACAAAGTTACCTCTAGCTGTTTTGAAGTTATTACATATTTTCTTGTTTGTAACTGTGTAAAAACTCTCTGTGTCAAAAATAAACAATCTGGAAAATGATTATTAGTTTTGACTAATCTTGTTTTCTACAAAACTTTGGATGTTTTTCTTTCAATCTCCCTGGAGACCTACCAGGCATTAGGCCCCATGCATTAGTATGGAGACAAACTTGTACAACTTTTAGGATATTAACAACTTGTTTTATCATAACAAACACCGACTTTACCCAGCTTACCAACATATTTTTAGTATTTTCCATTTTCTGATTAAACTATAAGTATACTACAGCTGGATTGTACAGGATTTTTAGTTGAAAAACCTTATCCGCGGGTTGTTACTGAACTGCGGTATTTGAAAAATTTAAATTTCGTTAACGGATAGTAAGTTCTGTTAATTTAAATTTCGTTAACGGATAGTAAGATCTGTTAATTTAAATTTAGTTAACGGATAGTAAGATCTGTTAATTTAAATTTAGTTAACGGATAGTAAGATCTGTTAATTTAAATTTCGTTAACGGATAGTAAGATCTGTTAATTAAAAAAGGACAAACAAACAATTTCTTTGCGGAAGTTTTTTTGGAAATTAATGGAAAATTCTGTTAATGCGTCTACTTTTAACTAAAAAGTTACAAACAGAAAGTTTCTTTCATTTTCTTATTCGTTAACAAATGGAAGTTTTTGGAAATTAATGAAAATTCTGTTATCGCAAGAAAAGGTCTTAAAACTTGGATGCTTCATGTAGCCAGGAATGGGTTTTTTCGGAAATTAATGGACAATTTTGTTAAAACAGACATAGAGCGTTTAATTTAAAAGTAACAAAGGGACAATTTCGTTAATTTGTCTGACTTAAATAATGACCTAAATTGAAAAGTTATTTTTTGGAATCAAGGACTTCCAATTGACAGACAGGCAAGGTGACAGGCTGGTCCAAGGGTGTAATGCAAGGAAAGTTAATTGCGGTCGTGCATACTCTGCGTACATATTGAAACCAGTTCTCTGTGGGCGGAATTTGTAAACAATAATAGATGCATCAGTGTTCGTTTAGTATCCGAGGAGGTTAAAAGCATTAAATTTGATAATTTTGATAATTCACATAATAGTTTCCCATGACCAGAATATTTCATAAATTATTTTATGTGAAAGATGGATACCATGTCAGGCTGTAAAATCCGTCTTGTGTTTACATTACCGCCCAGAGACAGTACACTGCAGTACAAAAGATGCCTACACTTCTGAAATAACTTTCCTTGCATTACATCCTTGGGCTGGTCACATAAAAAACCCAAATATATTGTTTTTGTATTGCTATGGATATAAAGATTTTAAAGCTTGTTTTGAAGAATCCTTAGGCAAATCTTGATACATTTTGAGCATTAAAATACATATTCGAGAGTAAAGATATTCTTGATATTCATATCTTAAAAAGTATGAGTTTTGACCACCTGGATTCTAGAGTCGAGGAATCCCCGTTTACAGTAAAATATTCAACTCTGGTAGAACAGGTCCAAGAGATGAACGATCCACTAGAAGGTAAATACTGTCAAAGAAACAAAGTTGTAGAGTAATGGTAAAGTTGTAGTAACGTAATAGTAATGTTGTAGTAACATAGAAGTAACGTTATAGTAACAGTACTAACGTAGTAGTAACGTTGTAGAAGTATTTTTGTAACGTTGGAAAAACAAAGAATCCCCGTTTACAGTAAAATATTCAACTCTGGTAGAACAGGTCCAAGAGATGAACGATCCACTAGAAGGTAAGTTTTGTCAAAGAAACAAAGTTGTAGAGTAATGGTAAAGTTGTAGTAACGTAATAGTAATGTTGTAGTAACATAGAAGTAACGTTATAGTAACAGTACTAACGTAGTAGTAACGTTGTAGAAGTATTTTTGTAACGTTGGAAAAACAAAGAATCTCCGTTTACAGCTAAATATTCAACTCTGGTAGAACAGGTCCAAGAGATGAACGATCCACGTAGGAGTAACGTAGTAGTAACGTTTTGGTGTATATTGGGAAAACAACAAATATCCATTTACAGAAACATATTCAATGCTGGTATAACTGGTCCAAGAGATAAACGATTCAATGTAAAGTAAATTTCGTCGCAATAACGTAGAAGTAATATAGAAGGAACATGTACCGTTGTAGTAACCAATATTAGTAAATTCGGCCTCCTCTGGTCCAAGGGATGAACTTACAAATAAAACTAAAAAATGCAAATGTTTACTGAAGAAAGTATACTCGGTGCATCACAATATGCATAGGACAAATATTCAAGTAATGTGTCAATTCTGAATGCTAATGCACAAACCTTTATATTAGATTTCCTTGTGTCCAACCAGAAGTGGATTTTCTGAACCTTATGATTACAGTCTGGGATAAAATGTAAACATATAAAAGTTAGTACTGTTGTCAAGTATAATGTGCAGGGTGTCTCACAGAACATGATAGTTAAGAAAGGCTTATAGTTTAGCATTGATCTTTGAAATGGTTAGCGGCATTTAAAAAACATGCTTGTAAAATTAGGCTGGTAAATGAATGCCTAGAATTATCATAAAAATCTTAGATGATCTTCATTCAAGCCGGCTTTTAACTGTTATATTTTGTGGGACAAATCATAATAAATATTTGATTTCAAGATGTTTAAATAATATAATCCTGTTGTGGGACAAATTATAATAAATATTTGATTTCAAGATGTTTAAATATTATAATCCTGTTGACGGTGTAATGTTTCTAAAATAAAACGCACATTAAACAAAGTTTAAATTGGATGCTTTTTCTCCTGTAAAGAAAAGTTAAATATATTTTTGTTGTTTTGACAGACTTTAAACATTGTAGATGGTATCTAGTTGTGATAGTTCTTCTCTATATTGGCCTCCTAACCTCCTTCAGCCTCAACGTCAGCCTCCTGATTAGGAAGGATCCTGGATCCAGCCCCAGGGAGGATATATCCTCACATATACCTTCAAGTACAGGTACATCTGACCTTATACCTTCTAGTGCAAGTACAGCTGACACTATACCTTCAAATACAGGTACAGCTGACCTCATACCTACAAGTACAGGTACAGCTGACCCTTTACCTACAAGTATAGCTAAAGCTGACCTTATACCTTCAAATACAGGCACAGCTGACATTATACCTTCAAGTACAGGTAGAGCTGTCCTGATACCTTCAAGTACAGGAACAGCTGACCTTATACCTTCTAGTACAGGTACAGCTGATCTTATACCTTCAAGTGCAGGTACAGCTGATCTTATACCTTCAAGTGCAGGTACAGCTGATCTTACACCTTCAAGTACAGGTACAGCTGACCTCATACCCTAAAGTACAGGTGCAGCAAACCTTACACCTCAAGTACAGGTACAGCCGACCTTATTCTTTCCATATAAAGACACAAGATATTAAGTTTTATAAAAATCATGAATTTTTTAAAGCAATAAAATATTTTTCATCTGATCTCCAATTTCAAATTGTTAAATGTTTGACATTATGGAGGGTGTACGTTGTATATAGTTAGTAAATAGTTTGACATTATATTGAAGAATTTCCTGGGTTCGGACACATCAAAGTATTATTACGTCAGAGATATAGTTCATACTCTACCAATGCGATTAGAAATAAGGTTGGGGGGGGGGGGTCTACTCGTAAACTGATATGCAGAATAGGGTTACCCACAAAGGATGAAACTTCAGAGACGACGACTGTATTACTTTTTAGTCTTGTTCTTGGTTCGCAGCACTGATCCTGTTTCGTCCTTTGTCAAATTATCTATATAATAAAACAAGACATTCGTATATATATATGTTGCCTAACGGCTGAACCGATTGGGCTGAAATTTTTTGTGGACACTCATGGGTGTCTGGGGGGTGTTATAGACTAAAACAAATTAGAATTTTGGTTTCTAATTTTTTTTCTTCAATTTTTTCCCCAAAGTCTTATTCTTTACGCGTAGCCCTTTACATTAAAAAAGAAACACTAATTCTTTGTGATCCCCGGAAACTCATTAAAAATCACTATATGTACACAAACCGTAACCCCCCACCCATGCTTGTAAAGTTGTAATAGGTTTTGGCGTTTCATACTTTTTTAAATCACGTTTTCGCATAATTTAGAACAAACTCAATTGATTTATTTAATAATCAACGAATTTTGGAAACGTGTTTTCACAATTAACAAAGGTTATAAAATAATTAATTTGAGCTTTAAAAGCTTTTTTTTTTGATTCTTTTAACATCTTAAAATTCAAAATTCATCTTTTCGTCATATCTTTAAAGAAATTGTGGACATTTTTGCAAATATAACACAATATTTTGATTTAAAGCGTTTACAGTGAGTGTATGTGTGTACACTGTACAAATTGATCTAGCTGCCTGAAAGTCGGTTCTTTACTCCAAATAAACCGTAGTTTAACGTGATTAAAGAACTTAAAGGGACAGTAAAGGGAAAATGAAAGGGGGTATAGGCTAAAAGCTAATTACTTCAGCTCTTGATCGCGACCCATGAAATTAATATCTGATGTTCCTGTCTCGAGAAACTGATATAAAACTGTGTTAAAATTAAACGAAAATTCATATATGTAAAATTTTGAAAATCTGAAACTTAAATCACGTGACCAGAACTATCACCAATGGCAGAGCAGTATACTGGTCACGTGTCTCCGCCTGTATCATGTGACCACTTTACTGCACTGCCATTGGTGGAATTTCTGGTCAAGTAAAACGGACGTAAAAATAATATTATGAAAGAAATCTATTGAAAATAGAAATAACAAATATAAAAGTAAACCTAATTTACAATTAGCTTTCTCTGGGATATCATCATTTTCAGATTGGTTGCTTATTTGCTGAATATGAACTATTTAAACCTACTACTTTTATACAAAATTGTATATATATTAATTTTCGCATATATTTGACACAGTTTTATATCAATTTCTCGAGACATGAACATCAGATATGACTTTCATGGGTCGCGATCAAGAGCTAAAGTGATTAGCTTTCAGCCTATACCCCCTTTCATTTTTCCTTTACTGTCCATTTAATATGAAGTTGACTGCACCTCCTTTATTAAAAGTTAAACCCCGTTCCTATTAAAAACATGACATGACACAATATATCCTGTATTTGTGTAAATATTGATTCTGTTTCATTTCTGTTTCAAGCATACTTATACTGAGACATACATATATTAAGACAGGGAGTTCCAAAATGGTTTAATACTGATATAATTCAACAATATTTAACATTTCTAAAAATTTTGTTGAAAAATAAAAGAATGCGTTTAAAAAATTTTGAAACACATTTTTCGAACCCAAGAAAGTATAAACTTAGCCGATTTTAAACAGCAATTGATTAATCATTGAAAATATCTAGAATTCTTTTACGGACACCTTACTTTATGTAGAAAGCTAAATGTAACATACACATTAACTTTATGCGGGAGGAAAATAAATTGACAAATTTTTAAATTATAGTTTAGTTATTTGTTTTGGAATGTTGTTTGTTATATTGTTATATTGTTATATGCACATTTAATTATTATATAAATGAATAAAGGGATTGTTCATGAAACGTAAAGGACAAAACCGTTATTGTAAAAATTATGTGGAAAAAAACACGCCAGGAATCTGAAAAGATAGTTTGAAAAGAATAGGAATTAACATTTTGTCCCAAACTCAGATTTTACCATTCCGTATAAATTTATAACCCCATGTTGTAGACCTTAGATATGAATTCTAATACCAGAGGTTTTCACATTCAGGTGGCAAAGATATAAGAATAAGAAAATTTGTGGCAAAGATTTTTTTTACTTTATCATGACAGCTTTGCAAATATTTGCTTACATCAGCTTCGACACAAACTTTAAAATCATCAATATTCAACAAACAAGCCAAGACTTTTGAAATTGATTTTGCATTGCTCTAAAGGAACTGAGTTTTTGCCACAAACTTATTTTTTCTAATCCCAATATCTTTACAACTTGATGAAGGAGACCTTTGATATTTCAAACTTAGACTTATTTGATCCAATAGAATTCATAGTTTGAAATATCAAAGGTTTACAACATCGAGTTTCACAGATATAAAGATTTAAAAACAAGAGTTTGTTGCAAGAACTCAGTTCCTTTAGTTCCTCTCTCATATGGAAATAAATAAAACAACTTTTTTAATAACTAAAATTTTTTGTTTTGCATAGAGTGTTTATACCTATTATACCCCAAGTAGATATTGAATAGAACGAGGGGGCGATAGGGTTTCCGTACACTTTGCTGTGACGTTTTTGGACTGCTGAAGAACTAGTTTTTGCGTAACACATTAACAAAGGCAGCCGATCTAATGTAAACAAACATGAGTTAGTAAACTGTGAAAGTAGTATTAAATCTTGTTAAAAAAGATTGAAAAAGTTAAGGATTTTAGTTTTTATATACGAAAAGGACCTTATTACAGAGACATTTTCAATCAAATTCAAGGTTATCCTGCCCCTCCCCCCTAGATGTCTGTTTATTATTTGTGTTATTGTTTACAATCTTTATCGCCCCCTCCTTCTATTCAATATCTCATTGTTATACCCTATACAGTTTTTGAGGAATGATAAATAAAATATGTAAAACAAAACTATCCGAATTGTCCTACTAGAAGATGTCTAAATTTAAAAGGGGTGAAAATAGAAATTATCAATAAACAATTAACTCCACAGAAACAGTTTTCATTGGTCAATGCCCGTAGCCTTTTTTTCTTATAAAAACTCCAAAAGCCCAAATATTTGTTCAGAAATATATCCTGAAACCACAAAGTATGCGAATATTATTCACTGGAAAGTGAGTATATGGTTTGACTGAAATATATATTCTAAAATATGAGGCTCATTTATCATCCACCGAAGGTCCTGTCGAGCCTCAAAGGTAATGCCGAAAAGTATTGGATAAATCTCCTTAAAAACGGTAGATTTTCAATATGTAAACAGCCTGCACAGGAAGTCTCCATAGATAAATAAATAAACATAGATAGCTTATGTACGCAAAATCAACAAGAATTGTACAGTCCGCGAACTAATACTTCTAGGGGTCAAAGTGTACTTCAATGATAAGCGGGGTGGTTTGGTGTTTTAATGGATTTCATATTAGAGTGTAAAATAACTCCGGGAATGGAACTATGTGAACAACAATATTTCACTGAGCATCATATTGACGAGAACTGAAGAAGGACATGAGAAAGACTTAACTAACTTAAATTTCTCTCTACAGAACTCATGTACACCACAAGTACTCAATGACATCAGAACAGCCAATGTTCACAACCGACCTAGTTAATCTATATAATAGGAATATCTTTAAAACATCTTTATATCATTTATATCTTTCAAGATAAAAAATGTCTTCTTATGCGCAATCTATCTTTATCTATGGATGTCCCTCTTGAAAACACAATAGTGAATGTTATGCATTAAAACTTAGACTTGAGTCAAACTTTTAACTTGTAACGGTGGGTTCTCTTTAAAATTGATCAGATAAAGAAGTAAAGAGTCTCCAATTGTGAATCGGTCAGTTCTCCCTTTTATTGAAATAATTACAATTTTAAAGTTTATTTAACCTTTTTTGGTATCGTGGTAGGTTTTAGCGACTGAACTTGATTTTCATAGAGTAAACTTCTAAAAATAAGAATTCAAATTAATTCCATGGATTTACAGAAAATCCTCCAGAGAAGAGGCGACTAAGAAATTCCAAAAGAAAGTATTTAGTGTCACATGAGACCCAAAGAGCTATGAAAATTATGCATGCATTTTCTTGTCAATTTTTACAGTGTCACAGCCCCTTGGCCTTAGGTTTACATTACTTATTATAATTTTAAGCTCTAGAGACATTTTAAAACTGTAACGTGATTGTATCTGGGTTTAGATTAAAAGTCATCCTCCCCCCCCGGCCTTTTTAGCGTTAAAGAAAGATGACAGTTCTGTATTGTATCCAACGGGTTTGTGTATCCCGGACTATAGAACAACAGTGATGGATATTGACAATTCTTTAAAAATATTGACAGTGAAGTCCTATCCGCCATTTTATACCAATTTCCTACCTCAAGCTGAAATATTCCAGGGAAATATAGAAATATTCAGAAATTGCAACAGGAAATATTTTTGGAGAAGAGGGAGGGGGGAGGGGCTTGGGAGCATGGGGGAGGTGTTAGTAATGGGGGATATTTATTGAATTACTACTATTTATGACCACATTGTACTTAATATCATATCTTAAAGGGAAATAAGCTTAATTTTAAGCGAACCTCCATGCAAAGATGACAATGCCCGGTTTACAACCTTACCCTTGTGGAAGATATGTGAAAGATATTGTCGTTTATAGAGGCTTGAAAGCGTTTATCTCGGATAATTTTCCTGTAGCCATTCCTGGGCAGCCGTAGCACATTTGAATTTCCGAGCCGGGTCAACCTTTCCGGTCCTAGTTTGTACTCTACCTAGCTCTATGGACAGGACCAGCCGGTGCAACAAGGTTGACGTGGTCAGCCTTTATGCTTCATATAGGTTGCATTTAATTTTACTAAAGGGGCAGAGGTGCGTGCTATATACATATCTACAAAATTCCATATTAAATTGTCATGCAGAAGGATAATAATTACAATCATTCTTTCAGATTACTAAAAACTACTTTTCATGTTGTTGTTACAATCCTTTATAATGCAACAAATTAAATGCACTCAATTTGATTTTGCAATCAAAGTTACTTTATTAAATCACAAGATGAAGTGCCCGGCGTTGCCCGTGGTAAAAAAAATTTGGAAGTTTGAAATAAATATTTTATTTTTGAAGTGACCTAGGCAGTTATGAAAACTGTGCAGACATGGTCAAGAATGGATCGACTTTGAAGTGTTGCAACGCCTTGGTGGCCATACATTTTTTGTCAGACATGTTTTAACTTAAAAAATTACGCGAAAATCAGGATTTATTTTGCCATTAAATCCTTTTAAATACAATTAGTTTTACAAACAAACAAACAAATGTATTGTAATTAAAACTGTAAGAATTCTAAGTGTTTCGTAGATTATATTTAGCCCCGTATGGATAGGTTAAGGCAAAGGCTAGGTTGGAAACTGTATGAAATGTGGAAACTATATAATATATATATATAGTTATTTTTACTGTTATGTTTATACCTACACCGCAGTGTCTTCATATACATTTATAACTAGTGTGTTGGAAGGGGGGAACACCCCATTTGAAGGTGAAAGGGCACAATAGAAAAGTTATATGCACAATGGAGTTAGGTAAGGGTGGGACAGTCTCTATAATATATATAATAAATAATATATATGTATAATGATATATGTAATATATTAGCAAAGCTAAGCAAATGAGTAAAGAAATGAAAAGTTAAGCAAGGGCTAGGCACGTTTACTACTTTTTTATTCTGTTCATTTCGATCCTCTGCCAACTAGATAAAGGTAAAATATATTCGACATTACTGCTACGACTTTGTGACTTCGTAGCTCTTTTCTAGTTTTTATTTTACGCACACGTGTAAAAAATGTATCAGGATAAGAAATTAAAAATACAATTTTCATCCCAAAAGCTCTCTAATCAAACCTATCGATGCATCCATACCAAGGAGTATGAAAAAGAAGGGAGACACAACTGACACGGCCCGCCCTACCATATGATTATACATGCTTTGCAGGCGGTACTCCATTTGTTGAAGAAATATTCAGAATCGGTTAATGTATACGCGGTAATTGGATATCAGACAAATATTTCTTATTCAAATAAAATACCGCCTGCAAAGCATGTATAATCATGGATGGTAGGGCGGGCCGCGTCAGTTATATCTCCATACTATTTCATATTCCTTGATCCATACCCAAATACCTAATTACCTAAATACCTAAGTTCACAACATCCAAATATTGTACGCTCAGCAGTTAGGAACAGTAGCTAAAAATTCTTAAATTTCCGTACTGCATTGTTTTGTTTGGAGCGGTATAGTTTTGTTTGTAAAATAAATTTTTGATGACTGAATTCTTGCATTATATAAAAAAGGAGAGAATGTACTTGGATTAGAAAGAAAAAGTATAAAATAAGGTAAAAGGATGAAAAACAACTATGCGAAAAAAGCAAACTCAGAAAGGAAAAAAAGTTGAAGTGGCAAGGATTAGAGATTGAAGGAAAAATAAAGACAGGGGAAAAAACGAGAAAAAGAGAGAGAAGAGAAGGTGAGAGAAAAAGAGAGAGAAGAGAAGGGGAGAGAAAAGTTGGATAAGTGTGCAGTAGTTCTTCTAACTTAGCAAAATATATAATTGAAAACTCAAACAACAACCGATTAAATTTGGGATTAAAAATAATCTATATTTAAAACAAAAAATATTTACGCGTGAACTATTTTCTAACAATCTTGAAAAAATAAGGAATTAAAAAAGAATGAATGTTTAGGAGAACTAGGAGGAGTCCAGGGGAAGGATGAACCTAAACTTCTAAAACATGGAGCTGAATTCTCATACACTACAGCTTGTCTTGTACAAGGTTCAGTATTATTATTATTATTATTAATATTATTATTAGTATAGATCCATGTGGTGCTGGAAGTTATTACTCCTGTAGTATGCGAAAATGTTTATTGTGTCCTAGGGACACCTATCAAAATCAATGGGGACAAACAGCTTGTTGGCCCTGTCCCAATAGGAACAATATTCTATCCAATATATATTTTGTTATGTTTAGTTACTATCTTTTTTTTCTATGATTATGTCATTATCTCAAATAACCGCTTGAAGTCCCCTTGCCCAACCTAGCCGCAGCGCTATGTCCAAAAATATATATTCGAACATATTATAGACGTAGGAAATATTTCACCTAAAAACCAAATACCTTAAATATATGAGGACAAAATAAATTAATGAATAAAAGGATTATGTGACATCAAATTCGCGAAAAGGTTCTAATTCATTTGCAGTATACTGTCCCGGTTTGCCTTACAAATAAATTGTACTATAATTGTACTGTACAGCTTCTAGCTGGTTAGAATTCGGCCCGGTACTTGAAATGAACAAGTGTTTATAGTTTTCATGGATATAAAAAGAAAAAATGAGTAAATTTGAATAGATATTGTTGTATAGAACACATACAGATTCTACTGGATGCACTAGTCCCCAGCAGTGTAAACTAATAGAATGTGGTAAACACTCAAGGTATGCTAGATACAGTGCCACCCATTAAATTGTGAAATATAACGACGACATTTCAGTAATATTATGTGTATTTGATGTTATTTTTTAAATACCTTAAAAATCTAAAGTAAAATAGGTGTTTAATGTTTGTTAGACGATTCAAAATCATAACTTGAGTCTTACAGTCGTCTTCCTATTCCAAAGTTTTATGGATCTGACTGTACATTATAAAATGTTCAGATTCTTTCTAATTATACTTGTTTTAATTCTTCAAAAAACTTGTTCTATAAATTATACAAAAATATTTTCCTCTTATGTACGATGATTACTGTTTTATCTTCACTATCTTCTTAGTTGTATTTCTTAAATCTTATTCTTAATTTTACGAAGCTAATTAGTTTAAGAGAAATTACGAGTTTGCGACCTCATAATTCCTGAATTTTTTTTTACACCTAAAAGTGAGAACATCTTGTTTATTTACCTAGCTGTGCTGTACTGTTTGTTTATGTTTAGACCAAACCTTGCCGCATTTATACTTACTTGTTATGCTTACTTTTACTTACAAATACGTACTTACGTATGTATTTATGTATAAACCGGACCTAACTGTACTGTACTGTTTGTTTATGCCTAAACCGAACCTAGCTCTTCTGCATTGTTTGTTTATGCTTAAACCGAATCTAGCTCTTCTGCATTGTTTGTTTATGTTTAGACCTGGCCTAGCTGTACTGCAATGTTTGTTTATGTTTGGACCTTACCTAGCTGTACTGCATTGTTTGTTTATGTTTAGACCTGACCTAGCTGTACTGCAATGTTTGTTTATGTTTAGACCTGACCCAGCTGAACTGTACTGTTTGTTTATGTTTAGACCGAACCTAGCTGTGCCGCATTGTTTATTTATGTATATACCGGACCTAACTGTACTGTACTGTTTTGAACAAACCTACCTGTGCTGCATTGTTTGTTTGTTTATGGTTAGACCTGGCCTAGCTGTACTGCAATGTTTGTTTTTGTTTAGACCTGACCTAGCTGCATACTGCATTGTTTGTTTATGGTTAGACCTGGCCTAGCTGTACTGCAATGTTTGTTTATGTTTAGACCTGACCCAGCTGAACTGTACTGTTTGTTTATGTTTAGACCGAACCTAGCTGTGCTGCATTGTTTATTTATGTATATACCGGACCTAACTGTACTGTACTGTTTGTTCATGCATTGAACAAACCTAGCTGTGCTGCATTGTTTGTTTATGTTTAGACCTGGCCTAGCTGTACTGCAATGTTTTTTTTGGTTTAGACCTGACCTAGCTGAACTAAATTGTTTGTTTATGTTTAGACCGGACCTAGGTGTACTGCAATGTTTGTTTATGTTTAGACCTGACCTATAGCTTTACTGCATTGTTTGTTTATGTTTAGACCGGACCTAGCTTTACTGCATTGTTCGTTTAAGCTTAGACCGGTTCTAGCTGCACTGCATTGTTTGTTTATGTTTAAACCGAACCTAGCTGTTTTGCATTGGTTGTTTATGTTTAGACCGAACCTTTAGTTGTACTGCATTGTTTGTTTATGTTTAGACCAGTGCTAGTTGAACTGAATTGTTTGTTTATGTTTAGACCGAACTTTTAGCTGTACTGCATTGTTTGTTTATGTTTAGACCTGACCTAGCTGAACTGAATTGTTTGTTTTTGTTTAGACCGAGCCTTTGGCTGTACTGCATTGTTTGTTAATGTTTAGACCTAACCTAGCTGAACTGAATTGTTTGTTTATGTTTAGACCGGACCTAGGTGTACTGCAATGTTTGTTTTTGTTTAGACCTGACCTATAGCTGTACTGCATTGTTTGTTCATGTTTAGACCGGACCTAGCTGTACTGCATTGTTGGTTTAAGTTTAGACCGGATCTAGCTGTACTGCATTGTTTGTTTATGTTTAAACCGAACCTAGCTGTTCTGCATTCTTTGTTTATGTTTAGACCGGACCTAGCTGAACTGCATTATTTGTTTATGTTTAGACCGGATCTAGCTGTACTGCAGACCCCTAACTACCCAAACCTGTTCCCGATGACCTCGTCGTGTCACTGGAGGGTGCGCCCAGCTGAGTTCCAGACTTCTCTCATCATAATCCCCAGTATTTCTCTTCCCCAACTCTGTACTCATACTCTTAATATACGCAGCCAAGGTATACACCACAATTATAAATTATAAATACAAAGTACAGCATCGAAATTGTATGTGTGACCAACCGCAACCAAATTTCAAGTTTTGCATTTGCCATCTTGTTATATATATTAATAGGGTAAACTATAACAACAAAGGATGATACGATAAAGACGAACTAAGTCTTCTGCCTTAAAAATAGTCGTTTTATGACATTTTTAATGATTTAAGTTACAGGAAACCATAAATATAAAGAAACATACAGTTTTAATTTCGTACAGTCGTCTCTGAAGTCTCATCCTTTGTGGGAAACCCTGTAGGTGAAAAATCTCTCAAACTGGCCATTTTGGTGGGCCAGGTCATATTCTGCCGAGTGTTGGACTATTTTTGAAATTCCACGGGCAACTGCCGGTAATTCAGTAAAATTACAATTAAAAAGGATAAGTCTAAACATGAAAATGAAGATATGACATAAGGATCTTCTTGAATCCAATTGCAGCTATCTGATGATACAGTGCGTTTAAAAAGGTTACATAACTTTTAAAGCTTTTTTACAAGGTACGTTGTAAAGTCGTTAAACTTTTTTTGTTACACACTTTGACATTTTCTAGCATTAAAGATCAATTAGACGATTTTTCAGTCATCTCTCGCAAGTTATGTTTTGTGGGACAATATTCATTATTCATGTACCCAGCTAGAACAGGGTTCAGTATAACTGTCTGTTCATGTACCCAGCTAGAACAGGGTTCAGTATAACTGTCTGGCCGGTAACAAGATTTCCACCTTTGGTATCCAAATATAATAATTATAGTTATTTTTCTTGAAATCAGTTACTGCTAACTGAGAAATCAGTTACTGCTAACTGAGAAATCTGCTACTGCTAACTGAGAAATCTGCTACTGCTAACTGAGAAATCAGTTACTGCTAACTGAGAAATCAGTTACTGCTAACTGAGAAATCAGTTACTGCTAACTGAGAAATCATTTACTGCTAATTGAGAAATCAGTTACTGCTAACTGAGAAATCAGTTACTGTTAACTTAGAAATCAGTTACTGTTAACTGAGAAATCAGTTACTGCTAACTGAATTCCAACAAATATTTTCTTAGAATTAAGTTTATTGAGTGAAAATTAGAAACTGCAGAAAATGATTCGCGAAGCGTCTTGAATTTTTGATTAATGTTTGTAATAATATAGAACTGTGGATAAGGCAAGAAATCAAGATATATACTTGCACACTTAATAAGCCTTGGCTTACAACTGAATAAAAAGAAGAATTAAAGGGAACGGTCACAAATTTTAAATCGGGTTGAGGAACTTTTAGTAAAATTTAGTTAATTTGTACCTTTAATTTCAAACTTTGTCTGGATAAATTTTCTTTAAAAAGAAGAATTTATGTTAGAATTCTGTAAAAAAAACTTAGCAGAATAATAATTTAATTCTATTCAATTTTGAGGGTTTTTAATCCCGCATTTTAACTCACAATTTCATGATATTTGTTCCGAGGCAAATAAGTAACATTTTAAACCGGCATAGATAAATTAACAAAACAGGTTTCCCTTTTCATTTCGTGGATTTAGTAAACTTTTTTTTATAAAACATGAATTGAATAAACATATATCCAACTGTCTTGTGTTATTATTCGGGTAATGATGTTTTTTGTTGAGATTTTTACTTTTTATGTTTGTTTTCGGTTTAAATTCAAGATTATTAATCACTCACTACCTTCGGGATTAAAAACCTTAAATTTAAACCCTAAACTAATAAAAAAGGTAAAAAACCCGGCCAAAAAACATATTGTAACGCCTGATAACACAAGATATTGCGCAAAAAGATATATTTGAACTATATCGGAAAAAAAGCTTTTAGATTTAACTTTTTTGTGTTTAAAATATTAAAAAGCTTAATCAACAAAAAATATCAAAATATATAGATTGAGATTAATCAACATTGAATGGATGAAAAAATGTTCGAAATTAAAGATTATCTGTTTAATCCTGCGATGTATGCAAACTGAAGATGTTTCTAGATGTTTCCTTGTTTGATTTGGTGAAAGGTTTCAAGATGACAGCATTAAGATTAAAGAGATCTAGTCTTTTTCTAAACTTGAATCAGTTTACTTTCTAAATTTGGTCTCCACTATCATGAAGTCATTTTTAAAGTGGCTTTTTCGATTCACAACGTTACCCTTTAAACCTTAGTCTTTTCAAGGATGAATGAGATATCCCTCTTTTTTAAAACTATATTGCGTATTTTCAATTTTGGGTTCGCTGTAAAAGTGATTTGGGGATTTTATGCTGCAGTAATTAAGAAAGTTGTCAAAAATTAAACAAGATTTAAGATGGAAAAAGACGATATTTAAATGTTTAAATCTGTAAAAAATGTTTAAATACATTTTTACCTTCACGTAAATCATCTAAATCAGAATTCTAATTTTTCTGCTTTAGGTCGATTGCATCTATTTCTTGGCTTTGTTTTTATCAAATATAATTAACCTTTAAATTGTGTATTTTTAAAGTATATGAATATCGTTCGTATTTTTTGAACTTAAAATGAGACTAAAGGAGTTTAAACGAAAACATTTTTTACATGCAATACTAAAACTAGGAGATATTTGCAGCGTATTAATTCTAAAAAACACATAAACAAAGCAGTTTTTCTTAAAAAGACTGAGTCCGAATTTAAAGAATTTGAGCCGCGGCTTAGATTCAAGCCGTTGCTCAAATATGGTTGGTTCCACTTAAAATTGTATTCAGTTTTTTTAAGATTCAAGCCGGCGCTCAATTCAAACCGGTTTTTAGCAGTTTTAAGCCGGTCCGCGGCTCAAATTCATTAAATTCGGACACTGTTAACCTTATTTCAAGTTAAGCAAATCATTTTTAAAAAACAGCTAAAAATGTGCAATTTTGAGAAAGAAAAACAAGGTTATCTCCATCTCAATTTTAACAAAAAATAATGAAGAATTGATCCTGATGTAAATCGAGCACGAAACTGTACAGGGACTAAAGGAACTGTCTGCCTAATTACAAGGGACTAAAGGGACTGTCAGCCTAATTACAAGGGACTAAAGGGACTGTCAGCCTAATTACAAGTGACTAAAGGGACTGTATGCCTAATTACAAGGGACTAAAGGGACTGTCTGCCTAATTACAAGGGACTGTCAGCCTAATTACAAGTGACTAAAGGGACTGTCAGCCTAATTACAAGGGACTAAAGGGACTGTCAGCCTAATTACAAGGGACTAAAGAGACTGTCAGCCTAATTACAAGGGACTAAAGGGACTGACTGCCTAATTACAAGGGACTAAAGAGAATGTCAGCCTAATTACAAGGGACTAAAGAAACTGTCAGCCTAATTACAAGGGACTAAAGGGACTGTCTGCCTACTTACAAGGGACTAAAGGGACTGTCTGACTAATTACATGGGACTAAAGGGACTGTCAGCCTAATTACAAATGGACTAAAGAGAAAGTCTGCCTAATTACAAGTGATTACAGGGACTGTCAGCCTAATTACAAGGGACTAAAGGGACTGTCAGCCTAATTACAAGTGACACTCCATGAAAAGATGACAATGTCCGATCTGCAACACTACCCTTAGAATAGAACTTAGGTTTCCATGTTCATAATTGAAGAATTATCAGAATTAAACACTTTTAATTATAGAAAAATGTTTCTTTAAATGTACCGGACATTGCCAACCTTGCATGAAGAATTATTTGAAATTACGCTTAAAGTCACTTGAAATTATACTTAAAGTCACTTGAAATTATACTTAAGTCCCTTGAAATTATACTTAAAGTCCCTTGAAATTATACTTAAAGTCACTTGAAATTATACTTAAAGTTCCTTGAAATTATACTTAAAGTCACTTGAAATTATACTTAAAGTCCCTTGAAATTATACTTAAAGTCCCTTGAAATTATACTTAAAGTCCCTTGAAATTATACTTAAAGTCCCTTGAAATTATACTTAAGGTCCCTTGAAATTATACTTAAAGTCCCTTGAATTTACATCGACAGTTGTAACTCCTAGTCCTCTATTTTCTTCCCTGAAGAAAAAGTTAGTTGTATATTTTAATATTTTAGTTGATAAAGGATCTGGTTTGATCTATGAGACGTGTAAATCTAGTGATAAACCTCTCCTCCTCACTGCACAATCCAGTTCAATTTACGTTGACTTTCAGGATAGCATCAGTATTAGAAACCATTTAAGGGACTGCTCATGTCATCTCAAGTTGGAATATAATCAATAAAAGTTTACTTTATGAAAAAGACGTCAAGGGCAAATAAACAAAAAAGAATGAAAATTAAAATCATTGATTAAAAAACTAAGAAAGTTTATAAAAACAAATAAGAACAGTAATCAATCTCTCAATTTTTTTTAATCCCAGAATTGATAATATTGATGCTTTCTACAGGGGAAGGGTAACCTCACATCACAAGGGTTTCAGGTAACAATTAAAACTAGGAAATGAAATACAAAATTTAAATTTTTCATTCAATAAAAGGAACTTTATTTTTCTAATCCTAATAATCTTTGCAACCTGATGTCGTAAATATTTGATATGTCAAAATATGCTCCATGTGAGGAGGNGTACGAAAAGGAAAGAGGGCTAAATCTGCAGGGATGCAGCTGAGTAGAAGCAGAAGATTGGAGTTTAATAATTTATCCCAAATAGAACCATATACTTATATCTAGCTGCCAACATTGATACAGGATACAGGATACAGGATCCTACGATACAGGCTACAGGATACAGGATACAGAACACTAGAATACAGGATACAGGATACAGGATACATACTACAGGCTACAGAACACAAGACACAGAACACAGGACACAGGACACAAACCGTAAGACAAAGGACATGCAGAATACAAACTATATAGATATATATTCTATCTGTGAGTTCTAAATATTTAGATATCTATCCTATCCGTGAGTTCTGAGGTATCCCAGGTTCTTGAAGCAGTTCTATCTCCGGACTGGGAAAGAACAAGAACAGTTCTAGGATACTCGCAGAAGGTACATGAGAATCATAAAACTGCAGAAGAAGAAGACGACTGTTAACCTCAAATTAAAATTAAAATAGCCCAATAATCATGAAATATTTCAATTGTACAGTCTGCACGGACCCTTTTTCTTTAATAGGTTTATTTTGATACTATTGGTAAAAATATTCAACATAAAATAAACACAATATTGCTTAAATGTCGTCTTCATATTCTAACGTTTTATGAGTTCCACTCTGTTATATCTTAATACGGCGAATTTGTTGGCAACAATTCAAGTCAAATAAGCTTCCCTAAAATTTAAAAAAATATTTTTTGAAATTGTTATCTTAGATTTTATTTCAGTAATCATGAACATTTTTCAGGAGGACAGACTCGTCGCCCGACTTCTGTCCTTACTCTCACCAGGGCTGAGAAGGCAGGACAGGACAAGAAAACATCAGGAGAAACCTCTAATTGAGGTTGTGGAGGACACAGGACATTCAGTCTATCTTCAGGACAAACTTCATAAAAACCAGGACGTGGAAGAACACAATCAGAACCATTTTCAAATCAGCCAGGACAAAGTTTGAACATCAGAAAGATGATTGTCGAAATACCAATTCGACAGAAGAAAGGCATTGTGAGACAGAACTGTCGCTATTTTGAATCCGTGGTTTCTTACGATTGTGTTTCGAGCTACATCTCCTTGTGACTTTTCAAGATTTCCAAAATATGTGGAAAACATTCAAAATGGTTGATGATAAACGGAGACTTTATTTATTTTCAGTAAGCACAAAACTGAAACAAAAATGTTACTATAACATATTCCTAATAAACCCTTACAGGTATTTTTATTCCTTCTGAATGTGTACACTGAAAATAAAAGTAATAAAGGATTGAAGTTTTTTTTACCTTTAAAAAATAGTATGTTATTTTTTCACCATCATTCCATCTACCCCCCATCAACCCACCCCTCTCTCTCGCTCTCTAAAAATAATTATGTATTATCCATGGATTTAAGTTTTTACGTTGGTACTTAACTTACATAAATGATAAAAAGATGTTCGTTTTTTTCTCAAAGTATTTGTTTTTCTAGTTTTATCAAGTTCAGAACTATAAGATCTACATAAAGATCAGGATTAAGATCAAAGATCAGAATTAAGATAAAAGATTTGGATTAAGATCAAGATCAAGAATAAATTAAACTTTTAACCTTAAAGGGAATGTCACCGTAAGTTTAAGAACTCGTTAGGTATATATTTTTTCATAAAATGTGTGATTTCCGAGTGATACGTTTCTTGATTATAATATTGCAGTTTTGAGCGAGAAAAAGACCGAAATTAGTCCAATTTGGCATTATCACTTTGCTCCACTCTTTAAATATACAAATAATTTTCCAAAATAACAATTTCTTTCAATCCGATATTTTCTGATTATAAAGATTTCAATTGTGTATTAGTTATTTTCGGATTATCTTCTGTTTTCCTTTTATATTTATTAGACATTTTCCCTTCTATGTTGCGCGCACATGCCCCGTAAAATTCCAAAACAGAGAGAGGGGGATTGATTTTGTAGATCCAGAAAAATAATATCTGTGGGATGCTTGCGTAGAGACTGGCAGCTGGTGGGGTCTTAAATGTAAGACATGTGTTCGCAGCTCTCGGCACCCTAGCCTGTCCTAGCCGCAGCGCTCGGCCCAGAAAGAGTCATAACTTCACCTAACCCGTGGCCGCAGTGCTCGGCCCCCTAGCCTGTCCTAGCCGCAGCGCTCGGCCCAGAAAGTGTCTTAACCTAACCTAACTCTAAATAAATACTAATTTCTGGATCTACAAAATTCAATCCCCCTCTCTCTGTTTTGGAATTTTACGGGGCATGTGCGCGCAACATAGAATGGCAACTCCCTATTTATTATTTATGTTCAATCATATTCTTATTTATATCATTCATAAATCATTAAACGTATATCTACTAAATCATTCATTCATGACTCAAGTTATTATGTTTGTAAAATCAGCTGTAATTCTATTATTATTATTATTATTAAATATAATATAACTGTTTTCATAACTTACTCTTAAACTAGGAATATATCTGACATAATAGACAAAGGAATTGAGTCTGTGTCACAAACTTAAATTTTCTAACCCCTATATCTTAGCAACCTGATGGCGCAAACCTTTGATATTTCAAACTTAGATTATGTGATTTAACAGAATTCTTACATGGGTAGCAAATATGTAGGGATTAGAAAAACTAAGTTAGTGGCAAAGACTCAACTCCTTTATCCAACAGGGATTGTAAACATTATTTCAAATAACCCTCCATTTTAAAACTTTAAACCTTTGTCATGGGTGACAGAGATATTTTTTTCTTCTATCTGTAAATTGATTACTAGGAAACTATAGATCGAGTACATACACTGCCGTATCAAGTGATCTCTAGATAATACAATTCATTTTCATAAAACTCATTTTTAAGCCTAAAAAGTAAAGAATTCTCTGTCATCGATGATCAGACAATGGTTTAATGTGTATCATTTGTGAATTTGACATGCCAGTTACCAAATGAAGGATCAATTATAACATCGTTTCCGATCCCTTTAAAACAGGAGTAATATAAAGGAAATACAGAATACGACCACAATATCCGAAATTAAATTTTTTTAAAGGGAGTAACCGGCTATGTAAGGTAGTTGAACTGAGTATGCAGTGTTGTGGAAAACTTCTTTCAGATTCATTTGAGACATATTAAACTTTTTAAAGATCTGTAAATCCTAAGTTTGAGCGCAAATTCGACGTTCAAAACTCCTTCTTTGGGGGTGGATACGTTTTCAGAATTAGTTTTTTGAAATTATTAAATAACGACGCCATAAAATGTAAAAAAAGTTCTACAATAAACTACAGACGTCATGTAAAGGAACATGTTGAGAAAATAAAAATTAATCTTATCATCGAAAATAAGTAATCTTGTTCAATTATTAGTTTCTATTTTCTCATTATTCTGGTTTCTCATTATTCACAAAGATTTTCTGCATATTTTCTAGAATTATTATTGAAAAGACGACATTTGAAGAATTTGAAGAAATCTGCGAATAAATTCAAAGAAGATAAGAAATTCAATATAATAATGAAAACGAAATATTCGATTTTAGCATTGATTTATTGAACAAATTTTTTTTGAGATTTTATAATTAAAAAAAACTAATGTAGGTTAAGAGAATTTTGTTTTCAGTGATTTATTTTGTAAGTTATGAAATTTAGTTTTGTTTTGAATTAATGGTTAATACTCAAAAACGGGAAAGTGGTTTTTTTCTCGAAAACGCGACAATGTTTCAATTTCAGGATATGCTCGAAAATGGAAAACCTGACATTGTCTAGAAAACGGTCAAGATATTTAATATAAAAAGAACTTCTATTATAATTTTGGTTAAAAAAAAGTTTAAAATTGAAATTTAAAATTGTTGTCCTCGTCATGTTTAATAAAATGTTAGTTTTAGTTTCTATTATCAACTTTAACTCTGGATATGGGCCGGGATCCTAAAAACCCAGTCTTTCAATTTATGCCCATTTATGGGCCAAGTGCTAGTTTTGGAACTAATGTCCCCTGACTTGATTTATTCGGTAAGATAAACTTAGATATATCTATATAAATAAATGATATAAAGTTATAATCTGATTGGATGTTTGTTTGTTTCTTAAATCATAATTCAGAAACCCCTTCACTAAACTTGGGGAACTTGGTAAAACAACAGGAATGTCCTTAGCTTTGTTTGGATATTCTAAGTGGATTGCTTTTTAAAGGAAAAGCTTAGTTTTCAGACAAAGCTGGGTTTCCAAGCGTGTAAAATATAAAGTAAATATACTGCTGGGAATGAATAATTTGATTAATATAAATAAAGAGAAATCTGCCAGAAACCCTATTTCTCTAATTCTTATTATTTGTCTGTACAAAATTCAAGAAAACTAGAAATGAAGATTCTTAGTAAACCTGGAAACCTAGAACTCGAGTTTAACATTCAGTTTAATTATATTTGTGGAACTGCCTGGTTACTGTCTGAAAATATCTAGTTACTGTCTGAATATACCTAGTTACTGCCTGAATATACCTAGTTACTGCCTGAATATACCTAGTTACTGCCTGAATATACCTAGTTACTGCCTGAATATACCTAGTTACTGCCTGAATATACCTAGTTACTGCCTGAATATACCTAGTTACTGACTTAATATACCTAGTTACTGCCTGAATATACCTAGTTACTGACTGAATATACCTAGTTATTGCCTGAATGTCTATGTAATATAAATTACAAGAATTACAATGCCTGGAATATTAGCAGTTCTACCGATGGTTTTACCATTTCTACTGTTTAGGAAAATATTCTTTAGTGACAGGATTTTTTACTTAAAGAAAAATGTTCTTTGTACCTCACGTTCTACTGATAACTTCAAATATGTTTTTCTTTTCTGTGTCAAGCTGACTTTTTGCATAAGATTAAGATTTTTTGTTGTGCTTATTTTGGATCGGTAGATAAAATTCATTTCGACCTTTTCTGCATCTTGTTCAATGGTAGAATGGAAAAGGTTAAAAGTTAAATTCTAAACAATAAATTTATATTTTGGAGGACAATATGGTAGAGATAAGAACTCCGGATACAAGTAAAATCTTTTCAGTTTTTCTCTCATTTTCCCAACCTTCATTCATCTTACTGAAGAGCAAGTCAATGTTAGAGATAAGGTGAGTCATTTTTTCAAATTACAGAAATTTGATCAAATGTTTTAAAATGTCGATCTGCCCTAAACGTATTTTGATTGGCGCGTAAATCTGATGGGTCCAAATCCATATTTTAGATCTTGTTGACCTGTTGCATTGTTCTGTAGCGGGAAAATGATCGGTTGATCTTTCCTGCGATCGAGGGGGATCTTGCCCCCCCCCCTTTTTATCCCTTGTACAGACTTAACGGTTTTAGTTGTGTTTACATGATAATTCTAACAAGCCAAACAAATCTATAAGTAACCCAAGCGACGACTAAAGTTTCGTTATCCCAGAGGGCCGGGTGCAGGGGAGGCGGCCGGCCAGCCAGGGTAGCTAGGGTTATGATCTAGGCTAGGGTGGAGTGAAGCTTGGGGAAAAGGAGTTAGTTGTGAATCAACTCCGGGAATAAGAGGTTACCCTGAAGATCTACCTCACCCTGATTATTATTCATGCATATTGATCGTATAGTATTTTCTAATTTATTTGTGTTTGTATAAATAATAATAATAAATTGTAAAACCGTCTCGCTGAATATTTGATAATATGAGTTGTTGCCTTGAATTTTTAGCATATACTAGAGTTCATCCCAAGTTCATCCACCCTAAAGTTGTTTTAACCATTTAAACACCATGTTGGACATTTAGCATTAAACATTATTAAATATCTTAAATAAATGCGCAATAATTTCTAAAATGAATATATTAAAGTTTGAAAACGCGAAAAAGTGATTTCCTCTAAAATGTTGGCTTCCTTTCAAATTTTCAAGAAATAAATATTTTTGGAGACATTGTATCGTTTACTCTCAGAAAAATTTCCATTGATTCTAATTTGTCTGAGAGTAAATGACATTCCTTTTTAAAAAGCTGAAAAATTTGAATTTGTGAATTTTGTAAAAATAATTCGCGCATTTCTAAGGTTTTTCAATGCAGTGTTTAATGAAAAATCCCGCCGGGATTCAATGAAAATTGTTGCATACCAAAAACCCAGCTTTTTTAAAGGAATGATAATTTTCAATGCGTTTTTTCAATCAAAAGACATAAATAAATATCGGCTAGTGTCATAGCATTGCTTTAGATGTCTAACATAGTATTAAACTGATTAAACACATTTGGAAAGACGAAGTGTCTGAGGGGGGATGAAGAAATAAACGACATCGTGTACATTTAATTATATAATGCCATTTTCAAATGTTCACAACGGTACCAGTTAGCATCAAGGAGTCAATAGCCTTTCTTTCTCTGCTTCTTTAATCCTAAAGTCCTTTAAAAAAGCAAGTTTTTACGGGTATTGTTGTGAATCCAGCTTGTCATTTATTAAATTGTTAGAGGATTACTTGAAATTATGTACACAATCCTTTTAAAAAAGTGAACTATATTTTTAACAATATTTCTTGCAGTTTTCCCGTCTGTTAGATACCGGCAGATCTCTTCCTTCTCCTGGGTATAAAAACTACATATCTCAGGCAGATGTAGATAAAATAATAATGTTGGAATACTCAGAAAAGGATCTATTCAAAGCAGGTTTGGAACAAAGAAATTGAGTTTTTTAAAATTTTCTAATCCCTAAATCTGTGCAACCTGATGATGTCAACTTTCGATATTTCAAACTTGGACTAAATGGTTTACCAGAATTTATATTTTGAAATACGAAATGTCTACGAAATCAGGTTGCAAAGATATAAGGCTTAAGAAATCAGAATTTGTGGCAAAAACATGATCCCGGGGAAATTCCTAGCTATAAGATTTGATACGATTTACGTAATACAGATATGTAGTTAGAGGCAAGGTACTAATGAAAGGAAAGTTGATTGCGGTCGCATATACTCTGCGTACATGTTTGAAACCAGTTCTCTCTGGGCGGAATTTGTAAACAAGATTAGATGCATAAGTGTTCGTCTAGAATCCGAGGAGGATTACAGCATTTAATTTTAATAATTTTGAAAAAAACACATAATAGTTTCCTATGACCAGAATATTTCATAGATTATTTTTGTGAAAATGGATTCCATGTCAGGCTGTGACATCCGTCTTGTGTTTACTTTTCCGCCCAAAGACAGTACACTACAGTACAAAAATTGTGTACACCTCTGAAATAACTTTTCTTGCATTAGTACCTTGGTTAGAGGTTGGAATGTAAAAAATAATATTACATCGTATTAAATTCTTAAAACCCTGTAAGATATCGCTGTTTTTCCATTATTTTTTCTGTTTTTTTTTAAGCAAACTTCAAAAAGATGAATTCCTATTTTTTTCACCTTTAGGATTTTAACGTTTTCAAAGAATAACTTCAAAATAATTTGAAGCATAGCATTCAGATATATTTCACCTGGTTATTGCAGGTCTTATTTCCCTTATCTGAACTCTAACGTTCAAACTTAGACTCGACTTTAGAGATTAGCTAATGACGTCTTGTGTCACGTGATTAGCTAATGATGTCTTGTGTCACGTGATTGACAGATAACTAGCCTTAAACCCAAACTAAGGATAGAGGCCCAATGAAAATAAACGACGTTGATTGTTTCCAGTTTAGACGAGTTCTTGAATCTAATTAGAAATCCAATCATTAATCTATTTCATTATAATTTAAATATTATTTTTTTAGTTAAAGTTTCAAGTGATTGAGAAAAGATAATTTTTAATTTAAAGGGACTGTAAACGTAATTTCAAGTGACTCTCCATTAATAAAATGCAGATTTACAACTTTTCAGGACAAAAAAAGCAACAAAATCTTTTTTTTGTTAGTCCGCTGAATTCTTCCTAAAATTCATTATTCAAAGAACATTTTATATTAAAATAACATTTTAACAATACAAAAAAAGGCAAGTGGATATAATACAATAAACGAAAGAAAATGGCTCAAAAATAATGGCTTAAATAATGATTTATTGAGGGTCAGTTGAAACTACGTTGATATTTCCTTTTAGATATTTATAAGAAAAGACAGAGATAAAAATATCCTGAGGCCGAATTTAAAGAATTTGAGCCGCGGTTTAAATTTAAGCCATGGCTCAAATAATGGTTGGCTCCACTTACATTTGTATTAAATTTTTCAAGATTTAAGCTGGTGGTCAATTAAAACCAGTTTTTGTGGGATTTGAGACGTGGCTCAAATTCATTAAATTCGGTCTCTGAGGAAAGATTTTGTTTTCAGACACTCCGACAGACTGGAGGTCCGTATCTGGTTTGCTGGGTAGAAAGCTCCTAAATATATTCAACAAAATCATGGAAGGTTTCACTTTCTTAACTTTACACAAAATCTCAAAATAACTGATCATCAAATATTCAAACACGTATTTTTTCCTCTGAATTTTAGTCATGCCATCCATTTTATAGAAATACTAAAGAAAATTATGTTTTTAAAAATAATATTTTCAAACTTAATTTCTAAACAGATTTTTCTTTAGGTTACCCCAAGTTTTTTTATTCGAAAACTATAAAAAAGAACTTGAGTCTTAGTCACAAACTCGAATTTTCTAATCCTTATATCTTAGCAACTTGATGGTGCAAACCTTTGATATATCAAAATTAGGTTATTTGATCTACCAGAATTCACAGTTTGAAATATCTTTGCATTGGGTTGCAAAGATATATGGGTTCAGAAAATTGGAGTTTGTGGCAAAGACTTAAATCCTTTAATATTTTAAGAAGTCTTAAAAATTGTTTGATATTGATTTTGTAGATACAAAGAATAAACACCAGGAATCTACAAAACTATTTGGTTAAAATCTTGGCAAATCTGGTTCATTATACATTCTAATAAACAGAAAAATTAAATTAATTCTCAATATAAACTACGGTACACTTTTAGCAAACACAGTTTGGTTGGGCCTCACTATATATTTCAGAACGAAACCACTTTTTAAAGGGACTGTCACAGCATTTTCAAATGACTTTCTATTTAAAGATGCGCAGGCCCGATTGACAACGATACCCTTTAAACCTTTTTCTGTAAAAGATATATTTTTTTTTTGAAAAAACAATAATTTCTTCCAATTTTCTGTAGTAAATGAACCACTTTTGAAGAGAACCAGCAATCTGCAATTTAAAATTATAAATTTTAGAAAAAAAACAAGGATATCTCAGAGAAAGGTGGATTAGGTACAATTGTGAATTGTGAATGCACCTCTTCAAGTTGCGTCAATAATTCCTTTAGATAAAACATTATTTATTGTAGATGACGACCTGTGTTTTGAATGGATTATATGCCAAGGAAGGATTTTAATATTTATGTAAATATTGGAGAACAAAAATAAGTTTTAAAAAAGAAACTAATTTAAAAAAAACTCTGATAGTCAAATCCCTGTTTCTCGTCAACCCAATATTGTAGACCTTTGATATTTTGAACTTTAAATGCTGTTAGATTAATTAGTTTGATTTTTAAATATCGTAGCTTTCCACCATCTGGTTGCAAAGATATAGGAATGAGAATTAGCCGAGGATAAAAATCTCAAACTTAAAATTCGTATCCACAAATTCACTAGCCAAACCTCGGCTACTCCTGCAGGTAAACTTCAACCCTCCAGAAGCTAATCAGCTACACTGCTAACTACTCATGTAGCTAATTAGTTACACCGCTACTCTCTGAACTAATCAGCTGAACAGCTACTTCTGGAGCTATCAAGCTACTCAGTTATCATCTTCAACCTACTCGTAGGTATTCTGGACACCAGTTCTCTACAGGTTGAATCTATGCTTGCCTTCACTACAACTGATCTCTTCAAATTGCCACTGGCCAGCCTTCCACAAGGTTGATCATGACGTGGGGAGGAGGGCAGAAATCCCTCTGAACGAGAATTGTAAAATCTGCAACCAGTAGATTCGGATCCTGTAACCAGACCTACTCAACTTCCTCTCCTTCTATATGCTTGTTATTTATCATGTATTTACTACTAGAAGCAATAAATGTATTTCTAAAATATAATGATTTAATTATTTTGTGAAAGCAATTAATGAAATATTATTTTAAACTGTAATTAACAAACTTCTCGAACCGTTTTGTCTCACTAAAGGGACTGTAAACGTTATTTTGGAATCACCCAGAATTAAAGAGTTACATGCCCGATTCACATCATATCATTGAAATCAAATCATATCATTGAAAATAAAAAAATGACATTTTTCTTCTTATTTTCTTTTACAACATATCCACAACTTATATGTGTAGACAATACACAGTACGAAATGATCGATTTTCATATAGAAAATCAAGGATATCCTGATCATTTCTGCTTCAACAAATTATTAAAGGGTACCGATTTGTATTGCCCAAGAGAGTCTTTAATTGATGAGTGTCACTTTAAACTACGTGGACAGTCCATTTTAGTAATAGTTTGTAATTAAAGGAATTCAGTCTTCACTAAAAATCCAAATTTTCTATTCCCTAAATCTTTGCAACCTTTGATAACCTTTGGCATTTCAAGCTTATATTATTTGGCCTCACGTCCAAAAGTCATTTTAGTTCTTCAACATTTGGATTGAAAGGACTAGAAAATCAGAGTTTGTAACAAAGACTCAATTTTATTACAATTATATCAAGTAATGAAGAGGAGGACAGTAGGGTTGACAGTGAATTTTTAAACATTTGATATAACGAAACATGAAAAGAGTCGGAATTGTGTCCGAGTATACGCATAAATGTTGTAAACCTTAAAGGAAAGAAGATGTTGGAACTGAACTCTGATGAGCAAGAAATGAAGGTGAACACGACAAACTTAGTTTTCTACACAATACAATAAAAGAAAAATAAAACAATAAAAAAGTTTTTTCTCTTTAGATTCTTGGATGTGAAGATATACAGTGCGAGTAATCAGAGATAAAGAAAACCCATCTTTGTGCGAAATATAAAACATGTTCTGCAAGAGAGAATTGAGAAGGAAATTTATATTTTTTTACTGTAGCAACCGTTTTTTAAACGAACAGAATTTTTTTGGTGAAGGTAACTTTTTAGTGAAAAATATAAGCTTATTTTCAGATTAAAGCGTTAAAACAAAAAATTAAACAATTAAACAAAAACCAATGCTGAAGAATTGTTTTTTTTTCTGATTACAATCAATCAATCAATCAATCAATCAATCAGACTTTTAGGGGCAAGCTAGAGACGTTTTTCAGAAAGTAAATAAATATTCTTTTAATGTAATTTTTGATTATATTTTTACCCATTATATTCGTTAATTTCTTGTAAAAATTTGAAAATTTAAAATTTAACTCACAATAAAAAATAAAACAATGAAATGCTGACGATAAACTGTTTAAAAAAATATTTTTATAGAAATTAATTGTATTTATTCCTAATATTGTGATAAAACTGTTATAAAAACTGTGTCAGATATGGTGCAAAAAGAGGATTTAAACTGTACTGAAAGCTATAACTGATTTTTATCTGAATAAACAGGTTTATGTCATTTTTAACTTTCGAGAAAATTGAAAATTTTGAATTAAAAATATTTTACTGACGTTCTCTTTTAATGATTCAAATTTTGCCAATTACTTCTCAACAACTAAAGCTTAAAAAGTGCTCCAAAGTTGTAAAATGTTAATGTTACAAGAAGTAAATATGAGTAATTGTGTTAAAAAATCAAAGGTCAAGGCGTGGCAACACTTTAAAGTCGACCCGGTATCTAAAACTGGTGCAAATTTTCAGAACAGTCTGGATCTCTGTGAACTGTGCACCGTATACCATCAGTGAGAGAGAGAAAAGAGAAGAGAATACTGGATTACAAGATTATTCTAATAAATTGACATTTCAAACTTTTTCAAACTTTGTTACGGGAAACATTAACAACACAGACATACAGAAACCGTTAAACAATCCAAGAAAAATAAGGAAAAGTTGGCGGGGGAAGGGGAGGGGCGGACATTACAGAGAATAACCAAACTTTCCACATACATTTTTTTATATTTTAATTCTTTTTCGTGTAAAATACAAAACCCCCTGTATAAAGATAAAAAGAATATTTTCTATTTTGAAATTAGTCAATATTTAAAGATATGAATGATACAAAGGGTGTTTAAGTAAGCAAATAATTATTTATAAATATAACAAAAATTAGGAGTTTCAGGGGAAATCTTCAAAAATAGAGGTTGCGGGAAATTTTCCCCCCAATTCTTAAAAAAAAGAAAGGAAAGGAAAAGTATGGTTACATATTTATTGTTTACATTTTTAATATAACTGGTGGTGTTGGCAAAATAAAATTTGTTTTAAGGGTTGTGAAAAAGATTTACACAAAACAGACTTTATTAAGCATATTTTTAGTTTGTGTCGATTTTTGACATCCTCTATCGCCATTTAAGATTTTTTTTGCGAAGTTCTTAGAATATTTAGGCGCAGGTATATCACTAGGCCCTAAAGCTCAGCAACTGCATTGTTTCATAGTTTCTATTCGGCATTTAGGTGGTTAACTTTAATATGTCGTGGAAACATGTATTCCTTTAATCCTCTTTCACCTTTTAATACCTATGTCTTGAGTAAACATGTTTTATTTAAAGCAATAACCAAAAATATAAGGAAAAAGAAGACGGCATTGTAGCAATGCTAGATCGTATTTGATGTTGTTACAAAGAAAATAGTTTTCTAAGTTATTAAATTACAATTACGAAGTTAAATTGGAGTGTTTCATGTCACAACTAAAGTCGTCTTCCTATTCCAGAGGTTTTTTTCTCCCGGCCCTTTCTGCAACATCTTCTGCAGTCCCAGTCTGGCTTCCATAAAGCACAAGAAGATCGCGAATCATCTTCTGGGATTGTGAGTCTGAGTCGAGAAAATACTGAATTTATTAATGTGAAAAGTTTGTTTCTTTTTCCGATTATAACTCACGAAACTCTTGACCGATTTTGCTTCAAACTTTGATTGGACAACTCGATAGAAATGTTCTTAGATTAGTTTAAAAATTTGTCCAGATCTAAAAAAAACTAAAAGGGACTGTAAGCATAATTTCAAGTGATCTCCATTTACGTGGAGGGCCACTTAAAATTTAGCTTACAGTCCCTTTAAATGTTCAGAATAAGATTTACACAGCTAATATGGAGGAATTGTTCTCATGAAAATTTACCGACCGTATACCTAGGAGATACTGGGATACCAGGATACCAGGACATAAACTTAGTTTATTTATCATAAACACTTAAATATTAAACTTGTTGTGATAAGTGTTTTAATAGGACAGAATACTGGATGGAAGTGTTTTAATAGGACAGAATACTGGATGGAAGTGTTTTAATAGGACAGAATACTGGATGGAAAACAAAAAAGTAATCTTTTTTCTTAATATTTTCACGCAATGGCTTCTTCTTGATGTGAACATTTCTCTGAAATGAAATCCTAAAATTTGATTCTCTACATAGGACAAATCAAGTAATTTTCACCATATTTGCTAGTATTTCACATTCGTAGTTGCGCCTTTGTAAGCGGAGCCCGAATTTTTCCCTTCGATATTTCGATTCACACAACTGATCGATTGCAATTTTGTGGGCCGGGGTTTTTTTACTTGAAAAAATATAACAAGTTTTCAGTTTTTTGGATCTTCTTTATAAATATCTTTCTTAGTTATATCATGCATTTTAATCAAACTTTTTTTAAATACTTTGGCTCTTTTCAACACCAAAGCATAATTATTTTACCAGTTTTGATTAGAAAAGATGCCTTTATTGCATTGGCTAAAGGTAATTACTTTGATGCCGTCTATATAATATTTTGAAAATTCAACGGGAAGGTTCTTTATTGGAGTAGGGAATGGGTACAGAGGATCTATAAGCTCCACAAACTGACCTCCAGAGCCTCCTGATTCGCAAAATGACCTCCCAGCCAATCGGTCCCTGTTGATTTATATCCTATATGCCTGTTGTGTAAGAGTATAAATATATTATTCAGCTCATTTATATCCTAGTAATAGTATTAAAAACTGCCAAACTAATACTTCTATACAAATACACCTTTCATAAATATATAAATAGTGCTTAATAAATGTAATTGCTGAGACAGCGGTATTAAAGCCTTTTTTGATAAGCTTTCATAAAATATTTAGATTTACATATTTTCAAAAAACAAAGAAATTGTGATTTAAATATTGTTCTAAGGGACTTAAGCGTAAATTGAAATGTATTCGGTCTTTTAATTTCTCAAAAACCCCAAAAATCTATGTCTAACGTGGTTCAAAAATTCATATGAAAATATTAATTTTAACCGTCTTCTATATGAGTATTAATATTTTTAAT